CACAAAAAATCTTTTTTTAAAAATGTTTATTTATTTCTGAGAGAGAGAGAGAGAGAGAATAAGCAGGGGACAGGCAGAGAGAGAAGGGAACAGAGGATCCAAAGCAGGCTCTGTGCTGACAGCTGAGAGCTCAACACAGGGCTCAAACTGACAAACCTGAGCTGAAGTCAGACACCTAACTGACTGAGCCACCCAGGTGCCCCAACAAAAAAATATTTCAACAGGAAATGACCAAGTAGATAAAAATCAGTTGTTTATTGGGGAAGGAGGCAGAGCAATTAGGGGAAAAAAAATTAGGTGTGTGTATGGTAAGGGAGGGGTTCCTGATAACTCTATGTGAATATCCACAATTATTTAAGGATTCTTCAGAAATCTCTGCAGAAACTGCAAACTTTATTAAAAAAAGGACACTACAGTTTTAGGAACCAAAAAAAATAATAAACCTTTATATACAACCTGGACTGGTCCACAATAGATTTCACTTTAAATATATTAAATAGCTCTTATTACTTGGCAAAGTTCTTTTATATCTGTTGTTCCTCTTACTCCCCCAACAATCTAATGAAGTGAGCAAAAGTAACCATACCACATTGCATTTATATAGTTCTTTGTGGATTTCAAACGTGCCTCCCCGTATCTCTTCTTTTTGAAATCGGTCCAAAAGGTGGCAGGAAAATACCATTAGCCATCTTTTGGGTTTCTTTTTCAGCAGATATGATTAAGCAGGAGCCAGGGATGGGTGATGGGATAGAAGCATAGAATGAGCTACTGACTGTCTTTGCCCAAGAGAAGTAGAAATAATAGTAGTATTAACAAAAGTAATAATAAGAGCTACCATTGTTTGATGGTATATATGTCAGACATTCTCCTAAGTGCTTTACTATTAAGATTGTTCTGATCACATTTCTTGGTACCTTATTTTCATGAAGGACACTTGTTGGCTGGTGGCCCAAGAGTCATTAAATGACTATCTACTGACCCTTTACATCTGTCTAGATCTGTCTGTAAGACCAAAACCCTTGCCAGTTTTCCTTGAACTCACTCCCTTCCTGACTCTCCAATCTGATATGAATTTGACCACCAAAGTCCAGTTGAATTTACAAACTAAATGTCTCTGCATTTATGTCAGTCATTCATTTTACCATCATACAGCCCTTTGAGGTCAGTGTATTTCTTAATCCCCCTTTTACGGAAAAGGAAACTGAGCTTTAATAACTTGCCCAAGTCCACACGGCCAGTAAGTGGTAGCTCAGATTTGAACATAAATCTTTTCAGAGCCCAAATCTATCTCATCTGTCTCCAGGGCCCAAGTTCTTCAGAGTAATAGTTACCATTAGTTGAGAACTTTTGGGATTCCAGGTACTGTGCTATGGGCACTGCTGGTATTCTCATTTAACCTTCCCAACTCAACAACCTTATGCAGTAGGTACTGTTTATAAATGAGGAAACAGAGACTCAGAGAGGTTATGGAACTTGCCCAAGGTCACACTGCTCATGAGGGAGTTAACCCAAGCCATTTGATTCTAGATTCCAAGCTATCCTCAGTATGTTAAACTGCTCTCCAAAATTGGGATTCAGAGAAGTGAAAGGATTTGTATGACGATAGTTCAGGGCTTACAATCAGGGCCAAGACCCACTCCTCACGTTGGATTATACTTGAGACATATAGTGGTCTTAGCCCAGTCTCCATAAGAAGCCAGTTATACTGTCACCTCTAACATCGCCCTGACCCTGTATGAGTCCATTCCGCTCCCTCAAGCAATTTCCCAATGTTCTATGCGAATCCTCCATGACTACCACTGTTCAAGGTGGGGACAGATCCCCTGCCCCTACCACTCCTATCCAGTCGCCAGACCCTAAACGAATCTATTGTCTACTGCAGCTCAGACAGACTGATTATAGTCTGGGCTGCTAATAACCAAGGGAACCCCCCAAATCCACCTTCTGCCATTGTGACTTCCTACCTTTTGAAACCAGACATTTCAAACTAATATAAGCCGCAGTCCCAGACAAATCCTGCCCATCCCCCTCACTGATAAATTTTGCTCTATTGGCTGCAGTGTATCCCTTCCAGATGTTTTAAGTTAAGATTGGGAAAGCTGTGTTTTTACTGGATTGAATCATAGAGCTTGGCTGACATTTTTTGGCCCTTCATACACTCCTTAGATTTATCAACTAATTGCAGACGCTTTGAGAGAATAATACAGCATGTGTTTATTATGACAAAACCTGCTAGTGTGTCTTTGTGGTCAGAGATTCACGGGTGTTTCCTCTACCGACCCCTGATTCAGTATTAAAGTTGGTTCAAAAATGTTGGTTCCAAGTCAGGAACGTACATGGGTGAAAATTTCATTTGTGTGTTTTGATGGAGATTGGGAATGGGGACAGGATAGATCCAATAGCTCAATTTTTATTCTTGGGCTATTTTGAAATCTTTAGTTGTGGATGATAAAACGATTTATTAAGAGATGCCATGTGCCTGAGGAATTTTATTTAAAACATAAAAAAAAATAGCTTTGTGTTGTTCTGATGCCACTGTTTACTAAGTTTCTCCATATGGGTTAATTCTGTTTCTTCCAATGTGGCCTGTTTGGAGGTTTGTGCCTCAGGACATGTGGAAAGGGGTGGCTACCTCCCTCAGTCAAGGCATCCACCAGCTGAAAGCAGAAAGAGCCCAGTGGCAGCAAATGTGGTTGGGAGTAGACAGTCATCATGATTCAAGTAGGACAATTGTCTTCTGGGATATGAGCCCCTGCACACCAGTATTCTAGCAAGCCCCAGCCCTAGGATGTTGCTACCTACATAAGAGACCTAAAGGTCTGGATAAACCATGGAATGGGAAAGGTGGAGAAGGTGGAAGGGAAATACAGATGCCACACATACATCCTCGGGGGCCCTGATCTCAAGTCAAAGTGACAATGAAGGGGACTCAGGAGCTCAGTGGTGATACCAGGTACCCAGAGCCAGGTGTGTGAGGACCACTCACCCTACCCAAGATGGACATAGACGTGGGAATTTCGTTCTGCTGTCGGAACAGTCCCTGGCACTGGTGGGGATCTGAGGCTCTACCTGTGTTTGAGGTGGACAGGAATGGCTGGGTAAAGCAGAAGCCAGAGAAACAAGGCAAATGCTGACAAAAAGGAACAAATTGCTTCCTACTGTGGTATCCTGTAGAAGCTGAGAACAAATAGAGAAATCAATGTACGACAATGCCTTTAAATTGTACAAGAGCGGGAAGGAATAAAAGTAGCTGGAAATTTGAATTCTAGAATTGTCAAAAAAAAAAAGAGATATTACTTCTTAGGACTTTTGGGTCTATAGAATTACTTAAAACACATGATTGTGAGAAAGCCTGTTTCAATGACTAAATTTTAGTGTGTTGTCATCTGCACATGAGATAAAGATTTTCTGAAGTATGGTCTTCATTTTATTCATTTCCTTTCACAATGCTTCTCTATGAGGATGCCCAGATTTCTCTCTGGAATGGGTAAATATTATCTCTTCTGAGAAACTGATTTGTTTTTTATTCTGGTGATTGAGAATCTCATAAAAATTGCCTGTCCTTCTCATTTGCTACTGGAAAGCTTAGAACTAAATCCATGAGCCATTCCTAGCAAGGACATAAGTTCTTCACAGCATATATTTTTTATGCTCTTCTCATTCCTTACTTCATCTTCCCCTTATTTTTTTTCTTTAACCCATTTTCTCCCTTTTTGTAATTTATTGTGTCTTATGGTGTCTGTATCACTTAAGCTGGGACAAAGAAGCATATATAAATACATCAATGCAAACAAATGGGTGTTTCCTAAAGCTAAAAGAAGCTTTTTTCCTTTTACAGACTTTAAATGTTATAATTTCACTATTAATTCCTTCAACAAATGCCCCTTTCATAAATAGAGACATAGTTTCCTTCAGCCCTCCGAACCATCTCAATTTCCAAATTAAGTAAGGCTTAAATAAGATTTCATTTACTTGGTAAATTAACTCTGTGTCCTATACTTGTTTAAAACGCTTGGATGAAATTTGAGAATCAATATTTAACCAGACACAAGATTCATTAATGGTGGAGAGAAGCTTATGCCCTACCAGTCAGATAACCTGCTTTGACCAGAATCAGCTTTGATTAACTCCCTGTGTGGTGATGGCGTTGGTTCCTTGACACTCTCCTCTCAACCCTACAAGACACTCTTTTGGAGGGAAGAGTCCATTTTCATTTAAGGGAGGCTATCAGGGTCCAAAGAGTGAGGCACAACAAGCAGCCTTAAGTGTCGTCTCTGGAAACTTCTTTCCAGACTTTTCTAACAAAAAGGGAATTCTGAATGATCTGAAAATGATTCTCCACCTTACCTCTCCAGCTTTACCTATTATCACGCTTTTATTTTTACTTTTCAAGCTCCTTGAAAGAGGTTCAGCTAAAGAGGTTTATATATTTCTAATTCCTTGCCTTTGCTTAGGCCATTCCATGCCTGGATCCCAACCTTCCCCTAAACTCACTCCTCTCCACCTGACAGAGTCCTACCCTCAGCACCCACCTCTTCCATAAAGTCCTTCCCAATTACTAGCCCTCCCTCAGTGATTTTCCCCCATGAACTCCACAGCTCCTAGTATCTGCCCTTTCACCCTGCACCTACCTACCACAATGACAAGGCATTGTTATTTATCTTTTCAAGTGTATGTCCCATTTCCCCAACTAGATGTTAAACCTTTCATAACCAAGACTGGCATATCTTAGACTCCCTAAGTATCTGCTGAAAGAACAAATGAATGAATAATTCTCATGGCATTTGGGACACCCAGAGGCATCTATTATAATGTTGGCTCATTAAATGTTTGATGTTGGCTCATTAAATGTTTGATGTTAATATTAGTAAAGATGTTACCACCCACCCACCCACTACAACATAATGTCCTTGAACCTTCCTATCATGGTAACTAAAAGCAAAACTCTGCTTCTAATAAAATAAGCTGTGCTTTGACTTTTTGATTTCCTCTCTTTCTAGATTTTGAAGAAGTCCTGCATCGAAATTTTAGCAGCTGAACCATCCACCATATGTGCTGGAGGTAAATTGAAATTAAGTGTTAATTGGTCTCATACAAATGATGGTATTTTGAGTTCAAATCACATGTTTATTTCATTGGTGGGGAGAAGGGGAGGGTGGAAAGAGGAATAGAAATTGCTAAATAAATTTGCTCCTAGGGAAAAAAGAAAAGAAAGAAGCAATATGTCAGTTGTTTGACAAAGTCTGTCCAAATTCTCTTCTTTCACGGGAACTAATTACGAGAGTATCGCAGAAATACTGCATTCCCACACATCACCACCAACATCCTGCTCTGACTAGAAGTGGAACTGATCCAGAAGAACCTGTTAAGAAAAAGAATTGAAAAATCCTACCTTTTCAAATTTGACAAAAGCGTATGACCACATGTACCCAGTGCCAGGGCCTTCTAAGAGGTCTGTGCAGTGAGGAGCCTCAATTAGGGGTCATTAGCTCAAGGTAAATCCACCTTCCCAATTTTTATACGTCCTTCATTTTAAAATAATTAGAAAATAGGGAGGTTCCTTAATTACGCAATTACCGCATTCATGAAGAAAACCCAGACTTGCAGTTTAGCAATGTGCAAACTAGGTGTGTTGCAACCTTTTAGTGAATCAGAAAGTCTAAAGACAATTAAAACAATTCCTGTTAATTCATAACATAATCAATTCCCCTTCTGTAGGGTTCTTGCAGACAGAGAAAGAATCTTATCTGCCTAACAGAGTACCTGGCACTTAATAGATGGTCAGTCACTTAATGTTGGCTGAGTATCTTGATTCATTATTTCTCCAACAAACAATGCACTGATTTTTGCCTATTTGACCCTTACTAACTCCTTTCACTTAACCACAAGAAATTAACCTAGTACCTTTGAACTAATTAAAAATGAAGCAAAATCAGAAACTAATAGTCAAAGAGAGAACAAGGCCAAAGCAAGCAAACAACAAAAATCCCAACTACTTGGGCAACAGATAATAATTCTTGAATCACAGAGCAGTCAACCAACCTCTCCTTTATATATCATTGAGATTTGAGACAATGAAAATACCACATATATAGACTTCATGAAGATGGCACAGAAATATCAGAGTCTGATCCCAGCAAATTCACATATTTCAATGTTTCTTATGAAATGGAAAAGAAAAATAAGTAATTAAGAATGAAGTAAAAGATTTTTTTTAAACTAAGGAACTACAAGAAAAAAAGATTAAAATGCATTAATAAATTTAAACAGATGAGACCAATTCAACTGCAAATCATTGCAAGAGCTATTTCTTTGGTAGAATCCATAAAATAGACAAATCTCTGGTCAATCCAATCCAAGGGAGCTTTCTGTTGACATTTTTTAAATCTTTGGCATATCTGCAATACTGCATATTTTATAAACAAACAGTAATTTCCTGTATTAGAGTAAACTACCCAATTCGGTTTTCTTTTATTTTTTATAAAGAAAAAAAGATAAGACACAATAATGGAAGCTAGCCCTTGCTGTTGAAAAAGGCAAGCTCCCATCTCTCTTAAATGAGAACCATAAGGATTGAAACATGCTAATTAGATAATAACGTTACTAAGGAGAAGAGGAAACTTCTGAAAGAAAGATACCCTTACACCAAAAGTTCTTCCATGGGTTTTCCTGAAGGGCTACTGCTGATCATTCTCTAGAGTAAGTTGGGCTTTCCTGAAGCACTGGCACCCTTTTTATTGTCCACGGCAGTGAGCACCTGTCAGGTAGACCTGAGCATACCCACTGTGTGATTTTCGTTAGGCTACTGCAAAGACCCAGGGGTTTACATCAAAGTGCTTTGAAAAACATAAACTGTTGTACAGAGCAAGGTGACATTATCATCAACATCATTGTAATGAGGATTGAAGGTCAATGCAAGAATCGTGATGTTGATAACATACTTAGATGAGAAAAACATGCCCGTATTTTTTTCTTTACTTTATTTCTTTTCTTTATTTCTTTCTTTACTGAAAGAAAATTGGGGAGAACATCAATAAAGCTCAGAGTACCTGCAAAAGGATGAACCCAATATGTGTGGGAGGTAAAAAGAAACAAGAAGTAACTGATTGTTCACATTTCTAAAGTAGAATGGTGGGACTGAGCCCTAGAAAAATTTGTGAAAAAAAGTAAAATTCACTGTCACCAGAAATCTTTTTTCTCAGCCCCCTCCCCTGTCTATGAATTGCATCCCTTCCCTGGTCCCCAGAGCAGCCCCTGCTTCGGAGCTCCACCCAGGCCTGTCCTGGTCAAGGCACTCTATGCTGTTCCCCCAAGACAATGATCTCAGCTGGCTCTCACCGACAACTCAGCAACAGCCATAGTTCTGACAGCAAACTGAGCTCTGAGAGAGGCAGAGAGATAATGCACTGGGCAGACAACAAAACTGAGATCCAGCACAGATCTTTATATGTCAGGCTGCAAACAACAGGGTGAAATTTAATGGGGCAGATACAAAGTGTGGAACTTGGATTCAAATGCCAATTTAGGGAAACCTGACTTAGTAGCAGTTCATGCAAGGAAAAAGAAAAATCAAGGACAGATAGCTATCTTCATAGCCAACAAGAATACCTCTGAAGAAAAAAAAAAAAAAAAACTGACAAGATCTTTGGGTAAGTGTCCAGGGTAAGAGAGCTAATTTCATGTCTTACAATTCCATGTTTTTTTTTAATATGAAGTTTATTGTCAAATTGGTTTCCATACAACACCCAGTGCTCATCCCAGAAGGTGCCGTCCTCAATACCCATCACCCACCCTCGCCTCCCTCCCACCCCCCCATCAACCCTCAGTTTGTTCTCAGTTTTTAAGACTCTCTTATGCTTTGGCTCTCTCCCACTCTAACCTCTTTTTTTTTTTTCTTCCCCTCCCCCATAGACTTCTGTTAAGTTTCTCAGGATCCACATAAGAGTGAAAACATATGGTATCTGTCTTTCTCTGTATGACTTATTTCACTTAACATAACACTGTCCATATTTAGACCATGGCCCAAGTCACACATTTTAAAAATGGCATTGACAAAGGCATGCCCATAGAAAAGGTGGTGGTGGATCTGGAAACAATACTAAAAATTCATTCACAGATTCTTTCCTTCCTTCCTCCCTCCCTCCCTTCCTTTTTTCCTCATCCTTCTTTCTTCCCTCCCTCCCTCTTTCTTTTCCTTGCTTGCTTTTCTTTTCCTTTCTTTCTTTCCTTTCCTTCTTCTTTTCTTCCTAGCTTTCTTTCCTCTTTCTTTCCATCGATTCTTAGTGTCTACCATGTACCAACCAACATGAAAAGACATGAGTACACAAATGCATAGAGCTTGCTCCCAACCACCCACGAAATTCACAGTCTACTCTGGAAGATAGTCTTATGTTCAGATACAGTAGAAAACCACACATGAAGCTCTGCCGTGGAGATCTGCTCAAAGAGCAGTGGAACAATAATGAGATGCTGGTGGAATGAGGAAGGTCTGAAGTAACCATGGAGATTCACACACAGGATTGAGACCCTTGCAAGAGCATCTTCAGAAACTTACAGAATTCCCATGTGGAAAGGAATTATTATGCTTACTATGTGTAGCTTCTGGAGACCACCATGGAGAAGTTGGGGAGGAAATCAGGGAGGCGAATTTGGGCTTAACATTTACAAGGGAACATTTACAACTAAAGCTTTCTAGCAATGGAATGGATGGTCTAAATTTTCCACCCTTAGAATTATGTGAGCAGTGGCCATCTGTAACTAGATACTATCCCCCTTTGGGTGTCCTTTATAATTTTAAGTTTCTAAAGTCTTAATTCAATTTCAGCTAAGGTATAATTTCAACTAATGGCTGATTTTTTTTAATGGCCAAGAATCCAGTATACCTGGAACTATTTTGCATTTTAACACAAAGTCTTAATGGGGAAAGGGAGTGAGAAGAATATTAATCTGCTCTGATCAGAAAGAATTTCATTCAGGGGCACCTGGGTGGCTCAGTTGGTTAAGGGTCCGACTCTCAATTTTGGCTCGGGTCGTGATCTCACGTTCATGAGTTCAAGCCCTGAATAGGGCTCTGCACTGACAGCACGGAGCCTGCTTAAGATTCTGTTTCCCTCTCTCTCTTCCCCTCCCCCACTCACTCTCTCTGTCTCTTTCTCAAAATAAATAAACTTAAAAAAAAAAAAAGAATTTCCTTCAATGTCATGGGTTTAACTACTTGGAGAGAGAACCTTCCCAGAGGTTACAAATGAGCAGCCTATAAGCCCCCTCTGGTCTCCACACAGGTTCTTTTTGATCCACACTACATTTAAAAAAAAAATCATAACTTAAATTTATTGCCAACATTTAAGAATCTGATTTTGCCTAAAAATTCAGATTTCTGTCATGTCTTGAAAAATCACATCTAGTAACACTGGGCTTGTATTTATTGCAAGATAAAGATTATCGGAGACTGAATAACTTCCCTTTAAAAGAAGCATGTATTCTTTCCAGTTCACCATACTCCCCACCATTCCCCACTGTCACCCCGAGACACGGGCCAAGCATATGGTTACTATTTAGCACATGCATATGTCACTGTATTTATAGTTCGTGTTCTAAAACATGTAGGAATTCATCTGCTCAAGCACCTTTGACATTACCTGCATTTAAATAATTCTGTTTCCCTTCCAACATAGACTCTTTTAAAAATTTCCTAATTAATATTTTTACAGATTAGCCTCTGTAATTAGGAGAGTTGACCCCTTGTTAGAGTGGCCGTGCCTAATTTAGCTCCTCCTCAGGAAATGCATGCTTTTGCCTAAGTATAATTTTCCTCTGGTCCCACTCAGTTGGCCTCAAACTTGAATAGCTCACAGTGTTCGATATAAGCAAGTTCTCCAGGAAGGAACTAATTGGAATCAAGTGTGCAAACTGCCAACTGTTCTACATTTGATGTTGTTGTACTCCAGAAACAGAAGATCATATTTAACTCCTCACATTGTCCTCACCATTCCTACTGTGCTGTTTCCCACCGTTGGTAGTAAAACTGCGTGGGTTTGCACAGAAAGAAGGTAGTTTTAGGC